TTCCTGTACACAGGGATGCCTGAAAGATCAGGTGAAGTGGAATGCTGAGCTCAGATGCACATTCTCTCAGAACCCATGGTGAAACGCCATCTGGGCCAGCTGCTTTGTTCCTCCCGAGCTCCTTTAGCATATTTTCCACTTCATCTCTAGACACCTCTATCCGCTCTATGTTGTTCTCTGGAATTCTTATTGTGTCTGGTTCTCTGAAGATTTCATTTTGTACAAACACACTTTGGAACTTTTCATTTAATGTTTCACACATTTCCCTTTCATTTTCCGTGAATCTGTTTCCCATTTTCAACCTCTGGATATTATCCTTTACCTGCAATTTGTTGTTTATGAATTTGTAGAATAGGCCCGGGTCTGTTTTACATTTATCTGCTATCCCTTTTTCAAAATTTCTTTCTGCCTCTCTCCTTACTGCTGTATAATTGTTTCTCGCATCTTTATCGCTGGTATGTTTGGGGGTTTGGCCTCTTCCTATACTGATTCCATTTTTGTGTCTTTTGGTCTCTTGCCCTCTCACAATTTCTGTCGAACCAATCCTGTTTTCTGGTCCTGCATCTCTGTTTTGGTATGAATGTTTGTGTGCCTTCCTCGTATAGTTTTAAAAATTTGGCATACATTTCATTTACTTCCCTGCCTAGCAACAATTTTGTCCAATTACACTCATTAAAAAAATTTCGAAGTTCCCCATAGTTGCCTCTCTTTAAATCGAGTTTATCAACTGTTTCAATGTCCCCATTTTCTTCTAGATGATATCTTAAAGCATATTTAATGTCTAACAGGACGTGATCACTCTTTCCCAAGGGAGGAAGGTACTGGATGTCAAAAATCTCTTCTTCTTTCCTGGTGAATACTAGATCCAGTACTGACGGTATATCTCCTTCCCTCATTCTTGTGGCTTGCTTTATGTGTTGATACAAGAATGTCTCCAGAATGAGGTTCACAAATCTGCATGTCCAAAAGTCCTCCGTTCTTGCTTCATAGGCCTCCCAGTCTATTGCTCTAAAGTTGAAGTCCCCCAGTATCAACAGTCGTGATTTATCTTTATCTGCTGTGTGTTTATTTTGTGTGTGTGTGTGTGTGTGTGTGTGTGTGTGTGTGTGTGTGTGTGTGTGTGTGTGTGTGTGTGTGTGTGTGTGTGTGTGTGTGTGTGTGTGTGTGTGTGTGTGTGTGTGTGTGTGTGTGTGTGTGTGTGTGTGTGTGTGTGTGTGTGTGTGTGTGTGTGTGTGTGTGTGTGTGTGTGTGTGTGTGTGTGTGTGTGTGTGTGTGTGTGTGTGTGTGTGTGTGTGTGTGTGTGTGTGTGTGTGTGTGTGTGTGTGTGTGTGTGTGTGTGTGTGTGTGTGTGTGTGTGTGTGTGTGTGTGTGTGTGTGTGTGTGTGTGTGTGTGTGTGTGTGTGTGTGTGTGTGTGTGTGTGTGTGTGTGTGTGTGTGTGTGTGTGTGTGTGTGTGTGTGTGTGTGTGTGTGTGTGTGTGTGTGTGTGTGTGTGTGTGTGTGTGTGTGTGTGTGTGTGTGTGTGTGTGTGTGTGTGTGTGTGTGTGTGTGTGTGTGTGTGTGTGTGTGTGTGTGTGTGTGTGTGTGTGTGTGTGTGTGTGTGTGTGTGTGTGTGTGTGTGTGTGTGTGTGTGTGTGTGTGTGTGTGTGTGTGTGTGTGTGTGTGTGTGTGTGTGTTGGGGGGGGGGGGACACCCACCAAGAGGTTCACAGCTGTTCAACACCCTCCCAGCAAGCATTAAAAATATTGCTGGAACAAAGGTGGATGTATTCAAGAGGCACTTTGATAAGTTCTTGCAAGAAGTGCAGGATCAACCAGGCTGTAGTGGATATGTGGGCCTGCGAGCCGCTCCAAGCAACAGCCTGTTAAACCAAGTTATCACAAGTCAAGCCTGGCTTCAGGTGGGCTCGGGAGTAGAAGAACTCCCAGAACCCTCTCCAGGTATACTCCAGGTACAGCTCCTACAGATTTTCTCATTGACACATCACATTAGTGTGATTAGTCTGTGAATATATTTATTTTTGTAGTCTGGAACAGATTAATCCAATTTACATTAATCCTTATGGGAAGAAGTGTTCAGTACTCAAGCAGATCAGCACTCGATCCGCCTTTGGGAATAAATTTAATTTGAGTTCCGAGGTTCCACTGTACTGTACTAGGAATATTGTCTGTGCCAAATACAAAGTTAGCAAAACCACTTTTTTATGATAAATTAAAGGCTAAAGAGAATATATTTGCAAATTATGCTAAAAGCGATAGATGTAGCTATGCGCAGAAGATAAGCACTTAGTAATGCTTGGGTTAAAAGTATTGACGAGGCTGTCTGGGAGTGGGACAGGCAGACATGATAACTCAAAAGAAACCAGTGCCAGGGTTGGCTAACCAAGGAAACGCCCAAGCATTTTCATCAGCAAATGAAGCTTCGTGATACAGTAATTGCGAGTACAGTAGTGAGTGGCAAAGAGGCTCAAAGTTCATCATGGTTATAAGGCATGTGAAATCAAGATGAAAAGCAATTCTGTTGATGCCAAAAGTGCAGAAGAATGTGCTCAAATTTGGGAAGATCATGCAGGACAATTCTGTATCTCCTGAGCAAATTTATAATGCTGGTGAAATAAGCTTTGCATTGGCATGTGTTGGACGGTTATACATACACTCATCAGGGTGAAAGTGATGGTTCAGCTAGGTTTAAGGGAAAAAAAAAAAAAGGGATCTTTACATGTTGTGCAAATACAGCTGGCACACAAACTCAAATTACTCATTAGTGGCAAAAATCTAAATCCAAGGGCATTTAAAGGGTGTCAAGAATACTGTCCCTGTGATTTATAAGGCTCAGCCCAGTTCATGGCTGTCTAGAGCCATTTTTCATGAATGGTTGTTAAGTAATTTTGTACCCAATGTAAAATACCATTTGAACAGCATTGGCTTGCCAGAGAGTAGCAAAGTGATGCTCTTTCTTGATACAAGTGCAACACATCCACAGGATGATGAACTAGTTTAGGGCAATATGTTTGGTACATTTTTGCCACCCAACACAATTTCCTTGATCCAACCCATGGATCATATAATAATTATGAATCTCAAACTCCATTTCAAAACTAAATTTGGCAAACAACTCCATGCTTGGAGGGAGCCAGCTGGCCGAGCGGACAGCACACTGGACCTGTGATCCTTTGGTCCTGGGTTCGATCCCGGGCGCCGGCGAGAAACAATGGGCAGAGTTTCAATCACCCTATGCCCCTGTTACCTAGCAGTAAAATAGGTACCTGCGTGTTAGCCAGCTGTCACGGACTGCTTCCTGGGGGTGGAGGCCTGGTCGAGGACCGAGCCGCGGGGACACTAAAGCCCCGATATCATCTCAAGATAACCTCAAGAAGATGCTAAGTAGGGGGTTATCTTGAGGTTATCTTGAAATGATTTTGGGGCTTAGCGTCCCCGCGGCCCGGTCCTCGACCAGGCCTCCTTTTTCATTACACATTCCCATGAAGTGGCCAGTAACAGCTGTCTAATGCCCAGGTATCTATTTACTGCTAGGTGAACAGGTACATCAGGGTGTAAGAAACTTTGCCCATTCGTTCCCCAGTCTCCACTGGGGATCGAACCTGGAACCTTTGGGCTACGAATCCCGAGCGCTGTCCACTCAGCTGTCAGGGTAATGCCAAAGATTTCTTGAAAACTGTTTACTATGAAGTCAGCTGTATGGTGTATTGCACACGCCTGAGAAATGATCAAGCAATCAACCTTGAAGCATGCCTGGAACAAATTTTGGGCTGCAGCTGGTTTGTTTGCTGACGATGACAACAATGCTGCAGATTTTGAAGAATTTGGTGCAAAGAAAGAAATTGCGCAGAAGAAATTATGACAAGAACTCCTTGCTTGTGCTATGGGTATGCACAGTCCCAACAACCGAGAAACGAACTGATCACAGCCAATCTTGAGGAAGAAGTGGACGCATGGATCGAGTGTGATCTAGATGTTAATCTGCACCGAGCATGACTGATGATGCTATTATTAATTTGGTGACAGAAAATAGTCAAGAAGAATTTGCAGGATTCAGAAGATTCACCAGAGGAGGAAGATAGAAGAACTCAAGCAAGCATGGTAGAGGTAAAGAAAAGTTTGGAAATCATTTTAAAGTTGATGGAGAGAAGATCTTATGTCAATCGTCAAAATCTGATGTAATTTTACAGATTTTAAAACAGTTTGAAAAAGGCAATGAAATGGTTTGAAGCAATTAACACTCAAGGAGATGTTTCAAAGGGCTTCCAAGAGAACTTGAACTGAAGCCTTGTCTTCCTCCTCCATCTCAACCCTCAACATCTCGGCCTCAACCTTCAATTAACACCACCATACTCACCTAGACATCATTGCAAGATCTTACATATGTGGAGAAACATCTGGACACTTGGTGAGTACCCATATTAATGACAATACTGTGTTACTACTCATTGTTATTACCAATATTCTGTGGCATTTTGTTTAAAGTAGCTAGTGAAGCAATAATGTATTATTTACTTTTGTACATAAAATTATTATTTTTCGTGTCTGGAAGGATTCGACGAAATATTCGATCACGACAGCCAATCCAATTCCGACTGGAACCAAAGTGATCAGATTCAAGGATGTCAAGTGAAATTATAATGGAGTTTTATATCAAGAGGATTACCGCAGTGGTATATTAACACGAGTGACGATAACATGCACATTTTCTCATTCTCCGACGATCACTGTCATTTTCCTTAACCGCTTTATTGTGTGTGCATGTGTATTTGCAAGGACTACAGTCTTACAAACAAATTCAAACAGGAAAACCCTTATAACCTTCCCAGAAGTAGAAAGAATAAAAGTGCTCAGCATAAACTAAAAGGTGAAGAGGAAAAATAGCTAAATAAAAACAGGAGTGCTTTAACTCAGTGAAATATTGTAGAAGCGAACGATGAGTCAGCAGAGGAGTATTAGGGGTTAATGTGTTATGGGTGCATTGCGCAGCTTCATCTACCCACCTATCTTGTCTTTACCTATATAATACTTGTTGTCAGAATCTGCTCGATTCATCATCTCCAAGAGCTTCACTTCAATCTGCGCCTGGTTGAGGAATGGTTTCTTATTCTTAATGATCTTGATGGCCGTCCAAGCCTGCTCCTCATGGTCAAAGGCCTTTACAACCTGGAGGAGGAGGAGAAGAAGGTTTAATTAGAACAAGAAGCTATAATCCAAGCAGTTGTGGGAAGCGTCCTACGATCACACTAAAATACATAATCAAATAATCACATAATTTTTGACAGCAGCCGATTGAGGAAAGTACTTTCGTACCTACACCAGTACATTTCACATTACAAAACATATGATGTGAGGGTAGATGAGTGTGATGAGGCCATGGTTAGTGTCAGTATGGAAGATGATTGTGGGTAGGAATTAGTTTAGTTCATTTATTATGCACCCCATACCTCATGGGTAGATGGTGTATAGCTTGTGGTGTACTACAGGGTCACATTCCATGCCAAATCAGCACAGCTCCCCACCCAACCACCTCAGATTGACAGGAAATTTGACAGGATGGTAGACGACCAACCAGGTTGTAGTGGATATGTGGGCAGGCAGGCTGTTCCAAACAACAGCCTGTTGGACCAAGCTCTCAAGTCAAGCCTGGCCCCAGGTCTGGGTTGGGAAGTAGAACAACTCCCAGAACCCAATCCACATACAATCCAGGCAGGACAGGAAGTAACATACACATGCAATATTTTAGTCCTCGGTGATGTATAATATTCATAGAGAACGGATGCCAAAGAAAAAATTAAAAAAATTGCTTACAAAAAAAACAAAAAAACTTAAGCTTCTAATTGATGTAAAACCTTCATGTTGGACCAGCTTTGAAACTAATGAAATAGTTTTTATTCAATATAGTTTTACATTTAATATTGAAACTTTTTACTTAAAGATCACATGAAGTAACCTTTAACATTGAATATATAAAAAAGTTCATAATTAATGATTTAAAATCATTTTAATTAAATACATAATTGGGAAAAATGTGCTACAGTTAAATGCATTCTCTCTTTGGTACAATTTTCCTTTTGGGACGATCTTGGGAACAGGAACAAAACAAAATTATAACGATTAACTACACACGCTGTGATTCATACTTCAAGCTGTGAGCAACTGCGTCCAACAGCCTGGTGGACAAGACGACATACCCGGTCAGAGACCAGGCCTCCCAGCCATACGCAGGGAAGCATAATCGACTTGAGAATGGTCCAGGACGGACCGAAACGTTGTCGTCTTTTCACCTTCTAGTGTGTGGTCTGGTCATCTCCCAGCCATATATGGGCCAACTGCAGGTGAGGGGACCACAACCCCTGGCCAGAATAGGGAGCTGGAGATGAACCCTCAGGTAAGGTAAGAAAGGTCTATAAACTCTTGGGCCCCAGCCAAGCAGTCACATCGACAGCAAAACACCAACTTACGCAGAAGGCACTACGATACTTTCCACTAAATCCAATTCAACTGGAAGGCACATAGGCTGTGTTCAGGCCTGAATGCACTCTGAACGAAAAAGGGGGCTTGAGGGTCCATTGGGGAAGGTGAGGCCTTAGCATTTCTCACCTTCATCTTGTTCATCTTGCTGATTCCGAGGATTAACCTTCTCGTAACCCAATCTTTGACCACGCTTCCTGGCTGGTGGTCTGGGGCCAGACTCACGAAGCAGTTACACAAGTACTTACGAACGTGAACATCTTTCCTCAATCTCTGACGGCTTTGGTTACATATATTTAACAGTTTACAAGCATGAAAACTTCCTAATCAACTGTTTAATACAGTAATAGTAAACAAAGCCGCCAAAGATTGAGAAATGATGGACAGCTTCCAACCCGTCCTCGACTCAAGTCCATTGCATTCAGCGGTCGACCCCACAGACGCATTCATAAATTTTAACATGCTGTTCATTCAAAACGGGAATTTTCTCAAGTATAAATTAATATTATAATATATTGGCATATTGTGTATATATAGGCATAGGATAGGTTAGGTTAGGTGTTTAGGTTCTGTTGACGATTATTTGTATTTGTAGTACGTGGGTGAAGCATTTATAGCGTTGTGATTCGAACAAAATTCGTCAGTGAAGCACTTGTTCCGGATATGTTCGAACGTCAGCAGTTGTGAGTCGTGTGTAAACCGCTTTTCATTCATAAACAGGGGGTTTGGCAGCTGCATGGAATCACTTTTGGATCTTTGTTTGGAGGATGGGCTGACAGCTTCGTAGGTGATTGCGTAATTGCTTCATGAATCTGGTCCCATGTCAACCGGGCTGTCGAACACAGCTGCTTGCAGCCTGACATGAATCACAGCCTGGTTGATCAGGAATCCTTTGGATGTGTTTATTGAATTCTCTCTTGAACACCATGAGAGGCTATCCTGAAGTTCACACTCAACCTTAACTATGTCAATGACAAGAAAGAAGTCAACCTAAACTTTACCCAGTTGACTAAGAACCCAAATTGTGCCAACTGGATAAGCATCAAATCCCTGGCTAACAGTTCTGACAATTTGGGAGATCAAAATAACTAACTGTCAAGGTTCTACAAGAATCTAGAGAACCTGGGGTCAGATTCATGAAGCAGTTACGCAAGCACTTACGAACCTGTCCATCTTTTCTCAATCTTTGGCAGCTTTGTTTACATTTATTTAATAGTTAATGAGCTCCGAAGCACCAGGAGGCTGTTTATAGTAACTACAGTTGATTGGGAAATTTCATGCTCGTAAACTGTTTAATAAATGTAACCAAAGCCGTCAAAGACTGAGGAAAGATGTACACGTTCGTAAGTACTTGCATAACTGCTTCGTGAATCTGGCCCCTGGAGGTGGTAAAGCACCACCCAAGTATATCTGGTGATGATTCTGGTTACTAAGTTTACCCTAAATGGAAGAGCTTGTAAGTGGTAGCAGACATGGCCCAATTTAAACCCTAGTTAATACCTGAACTGTGGGTGAATTGGAATGTGACAATAAGTGTCCAGCATATGCAAGGAAATAAGGAATAACTAACTGAATACTACCAGTTAAACCTGGGGCCATCTACACGCAAGTTACGCAAGTACTTACGAACATATAAATCTTTCCTCAATCTTTGACGGCATTGATTACATTTATTAAAGAATTTACAAACATGAAAACTTCCCAATCAATTGTTGTTATTGTTATAAACAGCCTCCTGGTGCTTCGGAGCTCATTAACTGTTTAAGGCTGTAATTGTAAACAAAGTCGCCAGAGATTGAAAAAAGATGTACAGGTTTGTAAGTGCTTGCGTAACTGCTTCGTGAAACTGGCCCCTGGTAAACAGTGGTCAAACAGATAGCTGGACTGGAAATATGAGTACAGGGTATATTGCAACCTGGATATGCAATTTTGTTAAGTATGCAGGACCATAGTTCACCCCTATCTATTACAGCAAAAATTTCAAATTATGAAACATTTCCAAAACAAGGGTTATTATAAACTAATATTTATCCTAATAATTATATTATCCCAAGTTATGTTATTAATAACAACAATTATTTATTATTATAAGAGACAAAATCTAAGACCAAAAATATTAAATATGATGAACGTTCAGTAATGTCTATGCTCTGTAATCCAAATCCCACGAGTACCACCCCCATTCTGGTTAGCCGCACTTTTTCAACTCGGGAAAATTTATTACTAGGAATGTTAAAAATTAACAGATTCACAATTTTTTGTATCACAACCAACGTAATTTGTACAATTCCCGCCCTATGTCTGGTTGCTCTCCCTACTTACCCAGTTACTTCTGCCATTTATCCAGTTACTTCAGCCATTTACAAGGTTTCTTCTATCATTTACATAGTTACTGACGTCGTTTACCCAACTGCCTGTACTCCTAACTGGGTTAAAACATCAAACACTCGAACATTAAACATTAGGGGTCGCCCTACCAATCTAAAATGTTCAAATAACACAAATGAGCCCATTTCGCCAAGAATAACAATGGATAGTCCACCAACAAGAAGGAATCTAGAACCTCATTTCATAACCAGAAAGCAACTGAGGAGCCAAACTCTCCTTTATTTGGGTCCATTTCTTAAGTAATGCCATGGTGCCTGTGTAAGGGCTTGAACAAGTCACATCAGACCAGGAAGGACAGATATTGGGACTCCTGAAATCTATGGAGGAGAGATTAATCCAGAACATGAACTGGGATCCAGGAACACATCTTTGGGAGAGTTAGGCAGCATTCACCTTTAAGGTACAGCCTCCTGTAACTCCCCGAGCTTCTAGAACCCTCCTTCCCAAGAAAAGGGCCAGGGGTTATCTTGAGGTTATCTTGAGATGATTTCGGGGCTTTCGTGTCCCCACGGCCCGGTCCTCAACCAGGCCTCCACCTCCAGGAAGCAGCCTGTGACAGCTGACTAACACCCAGGTACCTATTTTACTGCTAGGTAACAGGGGCATAGGGTGAAAGAAACTCTGCTCATTGTTTCTCATTGTTTCTCATTGAAACTCATTGTTTCTCGCCGGCGCCTGGGATCGAACCCGGGACCACAGGATCACAAGTCCAGTGTGCTGTCCGCTCGGCCGACCGACTCCGGGGTGGAGTCCTTAACTTCATTTGAACTCGAGGAAAAGGAAGGCCCTATTATCAAGACCCCTAACATACTTGAAAGGGTTGCTTCCAAAAATCACATAAACACAAGGGCCAAACTCTGGAGGAGAAACTTGGCTCTGATACCACCATTACATTTGCCAAGGGATCCTCACTCAGAGAGGATCTCAAACCAATACCTCAAGACCTGGAGAGGCCTTAAGCCAAGGCCCTTTATGAACCTTTGGCGGTGGTTTGTTAGCACTGGAAAACTGCAGCTTCCCTTGTGTCCATCTTTTCTCTCTCTCATCAACATACAAAGATTAGTTTGCTTCACTTAAACTTTCTGGGTGGGTTTGTATGGTTATGATGTTGATCTTGCTTTCCCAGGCTCCGAAGCCATGTCTCTATGAGCACACCCGCTTCTGGTCCTGGTGTTTGGTAGGTCTGCACAATTTCTAAAGCCTGCAAGCTTAGTGGCTGTTTCGGTGGTACGAAAGTGAAGTACCAGGAAGCTACCGAAGGCCAGCCCAGAAAAATATACATACTGTACCTGCAGATAAATATACAAGGATATGTGGGCCTGCGAGCTGCTCCAAGCAACAGCCTATTGGACCACACTCTCTCAATTCAAACCTGGAGCCTCCCAGGTCAAGCTTGAGGAGTAGAACTACTCCCAGAACCCCACCCAGCAAGTATCTATGATTTGTATATTTCAGTAGCAAAGAATAACAAAACTAATTTAGCTCTTTTCTAAACCCTATATGTCAATGGTTCTGAGGATTAACATCCTTGCCGGAGGTGGGGTGAACGAGCTCGCGCTAGTTCCTAGAGAATTCAATAGTTTGTTTACTTGGCTGAGGATGGGTTTTTATTTTTTGACAGATTTGAGGCCTTGGTCTTTTTTAATCCAGCAGCACTGTAGTTTGTTTTGTCTTGCCAACTTTCTGGTTGCCTTTCTTGGTGAGGAGGCGAAAATAAATGTCACAGCTTCCTACGCCTCTGTGAGGGGGGGGGCCACCTTGCCTTGTGGTTACCTTTTGTTGATTCCGGAGGTCAACGGCCCAGTCTCTGACCAGGCCTCCTGGTTGATGATCTGGTTGGTCTGCTAGGCTACTGGACCAGACCATATGCTCGCAGTCTTATGTATGAATCACAGCTTGTTTGATCATGTATCGCTTGGAGGTGTTCATCAAGTTCTCTCTTGAACATTGTGAGGGGTTGGCCAGTTATGTCCCTTATGTGTAGTGGAAGATTGTTGAACAGTCTAGGGCCTCTGATGTTGATGGAGTTCTCTCTCTCTCAGAGTACCTATTGCTGATTTGGAACCAGCCCCTCTAATATTTTCCATGTGTAAATTATTATGTCTCTCCCAACTGCGCTCTGAAGAGCACAGGTTTAGTAATTTTAATAGGTTCCAATAATTTAGATGTTTTATTGAATGAAGTCTAGCAGTAAAGGATCTCTGCACGCTCTGTAGGTCAGCAATTACGCCAGCTTCAAAAGGGTCTGTTATTGTCCAATAATATTTCACTCTAGAGAGCATGTCTTGAAAAGTATCATCGTTGGTATGACATCTCTTGTTTGAGCAGTTCTTATTATCCAACCTGTCACTTTTCTGGCAGTTATGCAAGCTACTTTATTGTGTTCTTTAAAGGTAAGGTCTTCCGACATGATTACTTCTAAATCAACAACAATGTTTTTACGTTCTATGGTATAATTTGACTGCATTTCGTATGTGGTTCTAATTTTTATATTTTTTCTTAATTGCAGGAGCTGGAACTTATCCTCATTAAATATCATTATTTTATGTGGCCCAATGAAAGACCTGATTTATATCTGATTGGAGGTTTGTCCTCTATGTTGTCTACTCATGGGCGTCTGATAGCTGGGTGGACAGCACTTCGGATTCATAGTCCTGAGGTTCCGGGTTCGATCCCCGGTGGAGGAGGAAACAAATGGGGAAATGTTTCTTTCACCCTGATGTCCCTGTTACCTAGCAGTAAATAGGTAACTGGGAGTTAAACAGCTGCTACGGGCTGCTTCATGGGGGTGTGTAACAAAAAAGGAGGCCTGGTCGAGGACCGGGCCGCGGGGACGCTAAGCCCCGAAATCATCTCGAGATAACTCTCATAAAACTCCTATTGTCATCAGCAAAGGATACAGCATTATAGTTTGCGCCCTTGTCTATTTTCAACATGAGAATGAGAGAGTAATGGAGCAAGCATAGTTCCCTGGGGGACTGAACTCTTCACGGTTGATGGTCTGGATTTTTCTTTGCTGACTATTACAAACTGGGTTCTGTTAGTTAGGAAATTGTACATCCATCTTCCTATTTTATCGGCGATTCCTTTTGAATGCATTTTGTGCACAATAACACCATGGTTACATTTGTTGAAGGCTTTTGCAAAATTTGTGTATATTATGTCAGCGTTTTGCTTTTCTTCAATGGCACCTACGGCCATGTCATAGGGGTCCAGTAACTGTGATAGGCAAGAGCGCCCTGTTCTGAAACCATGTTGTCCGGGGTTATGGAGATGCTGTGATTCCATGTGTTTTGTGATCTTGCTTCTTATGGGAGCCGGTGGCTGAGCAGACAGAACACTGAATGCGTGATCCTGTGGTCCCGGGTTCGATCCCAGGTGCCGGCGACAAACAATGGGCAGAGTTTCTTTCACCCTGATGCTCCTGTTACCTAGCAGTAAATAGGTACCTGGGAGTTAGTCAGCTGTTACAGGCTGCTTCCTGGGGTTGGAGGCTTGGTCGCGGACCGGACTGCGGGGACACTAGAGCCCTGAAATCATCTCAAGATAACCACTCCTTCAAAAACTTTTATGGTGAGTGATGTTAGTGCACTCAGCCTTTAGTTTTTTGCCTCTGCTTTATTCCCTCTAAGGAGTGGTGCTCTCTCTCTCCTGTTTTTAGTATGTCAGGAATAACACACTGTTTCCTGTCATATTTGAAAATATTGAATTCTGGTATCCATATCTGTCAAAGCAGTCCTTTGTATAAGCTTCGGATAAAGATGCAAACACTGCATTCCCCTCATTTAAGAGCCCTGTTATAAATTAGCTTTTGTTTTGCATATACGGATACCTTGTATATTGATACATACGAAAGATGTTATCAAATTTGTGGAAGTATAGAGTATTTTATACGGTATTCAGGAAACTCTTCAACAGCCTAGCCATCATGTAAGATGGGTCACCCAGAATGATATAACAAGAGCATATGATATAACACCCAGAATGATATAACAAGAGCATATGATATAACACCCAGAATGATATAACAAGAGCATATGATATAACACCCAGAATGATATAACAAGAGCATATGATATAACACCCAGAATGCTATAACAAGAGCATATGATATAACACCCAGAATGATATAACAAGAGCATATGATATAACACCCAGAATGCTATAACAAGAGCACATGATATAACACCCAGAATGCTATAACAAGAGCATATGATATAACACCCAGAATGATATAACAAGAGCATATGATATAACACCCAGAATGCTATAACAGGAAGATATAACAAGCACAGACAAAATAAATGGACACAACTGTTGGTTCTCTCGCGAAAGCATTCCTGGCAAGTGGCACTGGCGCCACCTACAGAAGATGGTAGAAACAGCATCAGCATTCACAAACATTTAAAGTGAGAGTTAAGATGTTTACAAGTGTCACTTTGAGGCAAATCCTAAAAGAACTACCCAGGACAGGGTTATCTTCTTTCAAATTGACTCAATGGCTAACTTCCTTGTGGTAGGTAGAATCCCACCTACCTACCATCTGTAGAGTTCCGTTCCTCATTGTGGTAGGAACTGTCTACCACAAGAAAGAAGAACTGAATCAAGAATATATGTAATTTTGATGGGAAACATTTTTTGCTGCCAGTACCAGGGAAGGGAACCCAAAACTAAATCTAAGGCAGATGATGAAGACAGCAGAAGAAACAATAACCAGCCTTCAAAACATTCATTAAATATTTTGAAGCATAGACCTTAATGCACTAACCAACTGGTCCAGAGAAATGCCGAACACTTAACTTAAAGACGAAATCAGCCACAGGCCGGCTGCAACACCTGATGCAGCTGTCTGAGCACCCAGCAGAGGGTAAAGGGGCCTCATCTTCTAGACCTGGTGTGGACTGCTCCACCACCTGGTGGCAGAGGGGAGGTTGTTGACGTGCTCCCGAGATAGTCATCAGAGCTTTGTTTTAACAGTTGGGCACTTGGCAAAACATTTCTTGGCAGGATGTTCAGAGTTTTAAGGACTCTACCCATGCAATTGAAGGAAGTTCACCTCAGTAATGGGTTGACCTTTGGTCTCCATGTAGTTGCTACCAGTCCAGCAACGAGAGGCTTGGTCGACAACCGGGCCGCGGAGACACTACGACCCGAAAACGCCTCAAGGTAACCTCAAGGTATGGTAGCCCCCATAGAGGTGAAGGGTAAGAGGTTTATAAGGACCCCTTGTTCCAAGAGGGGTCTTGGAATAAGACTTTCTTGTTCTTATCAATTCTCCCTCACAGATACCCAGTGTGGCTAGTCCATACAGTAATGGCCAATGTGTAAGGTGAAGGGATCCAATGAGGGAGCTGGCCAGACATGTTATATTACATATGTTGAGTATATATACTGTATACCATAAAACCCTGAGCTGTAATAAGCCATAATAGCTGCTAAAATCTCTCTTAATACTCTAAATATTACAAACATACCAACCTGACCAAATGAGCCTTTGCCTATTAACGAATCAATTTCATATCGATCTTCAAATTTTTCTCCCGACTTGATCATATAGTCATGGTTGTCGTCGTCGTAACCATCGTTGTAAACCTTCCGCTCCTTTTTGTGCATACTTGGACTCTGGCCCTGTGTTTGTTGGGCCCGTTTCTTTTTCTTGGCATAGTAAACCTAAAAGAGAAAGATAACATGGTAAACAACTGAAAACATCTGATCAAGGGGTGATGTGTGTAAATTATATAGATGGCACATGGTTAGTGTACCATTCAGCTATGCCTCAGTTGACACAGATACATTAAACCTTTGGTCCATTTATGCTCTTTAACTCTTTAAGAACAAATATTCTCAAACTAGGTAGTGGTTACACTCTCATAATAATAATGATAATAATAATAATAGTGTAGAAACTTACTACAATAATGTAATGCTTGCTTGAAGGTGAAGAAAAGACCCAATACCTTTGTTTAGAAAACATTGTTTACAGCAAGCTTTCATCCACAAGTTTGGTAATAACACACCAGTATTGCATCTTTTAATTCAACAACAACCACCACCACAACCACAAGAGCCGTGATGAGGGTTCGAACACATGCACTGGATGTTCCTAGATGAGCTCTAGTCAACTGCACCACGACATGGTAAAAGAATTGCAACCTGGAGAAAAGTTTCTCACCAGTTTCCTTCACGAGAACAAAAAAAAAAAAAGACAAAGCAAGGGAACTCAGAAGCCCCTGTAGGATGTTCAGGATTGACTTAATTAAAACTACCAGTCAAGGGAATACTGAAAGATTATAATCTTGGAAGTTACCACTGACCCTGAAAACTCGGAAATAAAGAGCCCTAAGCCTCATCTGGAGCTAGAGCCTGGATACTAGTGTTTTCCCTGGTGCACTTGAAGCCGTGAAGATGGTGCCAATGAACAAACACAACAGGGCAACACAGCAGAAGCAGCCAATTTAATCCTGGACTAACTTGGGTTTAAAGCAGTATATACTCCTGCCTCTCACAATTGCTAGTCCACTATGACATGGCTTTAGATGCAAGGAAGACAAGCAAAATGCTGATGTAATACTGTACACAGACTTCATTAAAACTTACAACATATGTTACAATGGTGTAATTGCAAATCAAATGGGTTTGAAATGAAAAACTAGCAAAAATAGAAAATGGTTCTTTTATTTTCCAAACAACCCAAACAACAGAACCCAAAGAGTAATAATAATCAAAGGAGTAAAACCTGGATCATCCAATATGAAAAGCTCAGTACCCAGGGTACTGTACTTGCTCCAGTACTCCTTCTCATTCTCATAATTCTCATATCGGACATAGAAAAGAACACACAAACTATAGTACCGTATTATCAAGTGCAGATAACACTAGGATTTTTACGATAGTAGAAACAGCAACAGACATGGCAAACTTCCAAACAGATGTAAACCAGGTTTAACAATGGTCTGTAAAAAAATAACATGATGTTCAAAGAAGAAAGTTCCAGCTCATGGACTATGACAAAAAATCAAAACAGAAACCATATATAAAATGTAGCGAAATCCGACTATAGAAAGAAAACCAACGTTAAATGTAATGAAACACCAATTTCTGAGTGAGAACCCCCAGAAGCTTCCTGAAGATTCTATCACTGATTTAGTGTCATACTACTAGGTGACATCAGTTGCGGAGTTCTACTGGCCTACCCGGGACCACAAGCTAGAACCTAGCCCACCTCAGAGAGGTGCAGGAAGCAGTGGCTTATGAACACTTTACATTTAAAGTTAATCATAACTGCCACCACCAGGGAAGGTACCCAGAAAAGTAGGCAAAACAAAACAGACCACTGCATAGTTAAAATGAACCCGCAGCCTCAAAATTGTCAAAAGAACTCTCCCAACAATGAAAACAAACCACCAAAAATTTGTGAAACTAACACAAGCTAGTTTGCCCCACACCTCCCACTCGCCTTGGGGGAAGAGGGAGGCGGAGGAGGACCAGGCCAGGCGGACCAAGGCAGGCAGACCATCAATTCTATTCTTCTGGTTTTGCCAGATGTTCAGGTGCTCGGACATAAGCCTCTTCACAACGATATGTCTTGGCATTTGCCTCTTTACATCCCGCTGTTCCCCGACTGCGACAAGGCCTCGACGTGGATGCCTTTTTGGCTGGACTGATTGAGATGTGGGTTTCTTTCTCTCTTTTCCCCAGTCCAGCAATTCAGGAGAGCCAGGAGATTGAAGCATCAATCTCCGAGTGCTGGAGAGTCAAGAGTCTTACAGGAGAGGTATTCTTCTGGATCCTTGGTGACAACCCAGCCTTGATTTCAGGCGCTGCTTGCCCAGTGTGAACCTGGGCTTTTTTTTTTTTGCAGATAAGCCACTTTCAGAAGGTCGGGCGAGTGACATACTTTGCTAGTTCAACCTTCTCTTTCCCTCTACACATTTGGACTTTCTAATGGGTATTTATCATCATATATATGGTGCTCAGGTAGCTGGGTTAATGGTGTCCCACCTGCGGTCGCCTTCTTGACAACAGTATCCCTGGAGAGGGTTTCGGGAGTTCGTCTACTCCCCGAGCACGGCCTGAAGCCAGGCTCGACCAGTATGAAGTCTCTTGGTGTTCCTTCTGTCATTTTTTGTCCCTTCATTGTTGCTCTTCAGTTTACGGGCTATTCATGCCCATGCCACCTCATGGATGGCTTAATCTGCATCAATCAAATGCTCTTCAGCCTCTAAGTGGGTTGTTCGGTTCTGTCTGCCTTGGCAGACAGAACCGAACAACCTTGAGTGGCATCTTATGCTGAATACTGTCGCCTCTTATCATGCAGCGACAATACAATTCTCCCTGATAGGCCAATAGAACTCCGCAAATGATGGCACCTAGTAGCATGGTGCTAAATAAGTCCTAGTATTAGGGAGCCTCTAGGGGCTCCCCCTAGAAAAAGAACTGTAGAAGACCTGGAAGTAATTATGTCTGAAGGCCTTAAGTTTTAAAGTACACAACAAAGTTAACAAACAAGAGATGCCAAACCAATGATGATATTTCTAAGATCGTTGCACACAAACATCTGCATTCAAAGCAAGGTTACTGACTTGGAGAATGTGCAGAATACTTATACTGCCCAAATCCATTCAATAACATTCAAATTTCACTTGAAAAATATCAGAGGGGTTGATTTCAAATCTGCACATGGAAATAACTCCTTATGAGACCAGAAGGTATGGTAGAATGTGTAAAATAGCCCCACTGAAAGGAAGAGGCACAATCAGCATGCTGCGAGACAATATTGTAAACATTAAAGACCAAGACTTTTCAACACCTCCCTCTAAACACAAGGAAGTGTTTAGTCGACCCCTCTCGGTGTTCAAAACCAAAATTGATAAAACACCTTCAAAGGATTCACGATCAACCGGGCTGCAATTTGTATGTTAGAGTGCAAGCCGCAGCATCTAACAGACTGGTTAACCAAACCACCAATTAGGAGGTTAGATGAGTGACTGGGCTGACACTGATCCTCTAAACCAGCTATCGCTAAACTTTCGGAGCTCACGGATCACTAAATTCATAATTTTAAATCCCGCGGACCACTAATATGAATCCCGCAGTCCACCAAATAAGAAATGATAGTTATTAAAGCAAACTATTTGATGCCAAAAAATATAACAGTTAAAGAAAATACACAGTTACATACAATACACAAATAAAATTGTCTCCCAGCCACTGGTGGTCTACGGACCACCAGTTCGCAACGGTCCGCGGACCACCAGTTGGCGACGGCTGCTCTAAACTGCCTCAAGATAACCTCATGGTAAGGTTGGTATAAAACAACATGTTTGGCAACTAACAAGGAGTTTTAAGGGTCAAGGAACTCATTGATGGCAATCAAATTTCAGTCTTACCACTCAGACCCAACAATCATGACTAAAGGCATCACTACCAATATCTATTTTTTTTAGAGAACCATTTTTGGATAGGCTTCAGAATGATGTACAGTATTTCAGATAGTGCACTGAGAAATTAAATAAAAAATGCATACGTACTAAATGAAATAGTTCAAAAAGGAACTGTCACTCCTTCACTATCTACGTGTAGTTTTCAAAGCTGTCCTCTCGTTCCTCTGAAAGCTGGTCGAGTGATTTATCAGAAGTTGGCATGATCCACAATGCAGACATACATAGACACCCATTTCTCCTGCAACTGGGAGTACAGCAACCAGTTGCACAATTGCAATGGCTCATTTTCAAGTGTGCCAGGTGCAACGTTCATATCAGATATTATGGGTAGACGTTGACTGTCCTAAACTCTCTAAATCAGTTCAAAAGTTCACTATCACTCTTCATCCGCCCATCCCCCATCCTTTGTCATAGTCTAAAACTACACCCTAAGACATTGGCATTTGTGCAAAGATATTCAGGCATAAATGATTTTACAAGGATCTGCCCGAAACGTTGCGCGTACTAGTGGCTTTACAAGAATGTAATTACTATCCAATGTATCCTCACAATCCCAATGTACCTTCTTGTATAAATAAATAAATAAATAAATAAATAAATAAATAAATAAGGACAATTTTTTTAGTATGTCATAATGCAAGTGTGTCAGAGAATGAACAAATCCACAAGGGTCATGATAAGGGTTCGAACCTAAGTCTGAGAGGATCCTAGACGTGCCTTAATCGACCTCTCAGACGTAGGTTCGAACCCTCATCACGGCCCTTGTGGATTTGTTCATTTGATGCATCATGCTATTGTGATTTCTGTGTGTGTCAGAGAACATTTGCTTTCCCACTAAACATAATACAAGGTAGCCTTCGCTTGGCTGCAGAGGTTATCGTGTCAGTGTGATTCTTTCCTGGTAAACCTTATTACCTTTTGCACATTTTTGTGCAAAAGGTTGCATTGGAGAGGTTTGCACAGGTTGGATCCTGTGCAAAAGATTGCATTTGCACAGGATCCAATTTCACAAAGTTTTGAGAGGCTGATTTCCTTCCAACACCATAAATACCTGACATTGAGTCATTTCCTGTGAAATCGTGAAGAAATAACACTTAGGTAAACAACACACCGCCAAGAATACACTTTACACAATTTATGTCCACTTCTGGCATGCCTCTTGACAGGCTAATCTAAAATACAGTGGTATGCCAACTGCTCTGGCATAATGAAGATGAATTAATAAGT